GGTTATACAGACAGACAGACAGATAGACAGACAGACAGACAGACAAAAATACTACTGATTACATTTTTGGCATCAGTATCGATCCCTAATCAACCCCTGATAGTTATTTTGGAAATATATTTCATGTACAGAATTGACCTCTCTACAGATTTATTATAAGTATAGATATAGAAGAAGATAGGTAAGATTTGATTATGTGTTTGTTTCTTTGCATTAAATAGGCTCCAAAACTAATGTGTACCTACATATTAAAAATTCTTTCATCTGTGGATGCATTATATGCGAACAGGAAAGTTGTAATAAATACTTACGGGCGGGTATCCACAATTAACAAGTAAAAAAACATTTAAACTAACGACAAACACTGGTAACTTCATGTTGGTCGTTTAGTACTAACTAACTCGAATTCAGATAGCAATACTTTAATTGGGAAAATTGAACACCAATTAGTTTACACGAACTAGGAAATAAAAATTTTAATTTGTGCACAGGTACTTAGAAATAATAAAGACTAAAGTTTGAACCATAGAGGTATAACTGTAGGACAGGGAACGCAGACCCACTGTCCATTAGTTAGAAAGAGGGAGAAGATCGCGGTATCCCGTTTCCCACGCGTAGTTAATGTCAAAATGGAACTATGGAGAACGATTTAAATTAAAGATTTGAAGTAATTTGTCTATAATTTTAATGCCCCCGATTATAAGCCAACGAAATGGATTGATTTAAAACGAAAAAGAAAGGTTGGAAACCTTGTAATTTCTTTACAGCTTAATAAAAAAAGATAAAACGGTTTCAAAATGATTGTTGAGTGTTGTTTATAATAATTACATTTTATTAATATCATCGTGACAGGGCCAGCCCGTCCATATATGCAAAGTAGGCAGCTACCTATGGCGCACGTATTTGCGAGTGGGGGGAGGCCACGCATTCCAAAAAAAAATACGTTTACTCTAATTTTTGAACCTAAAAATTAAACACTTTTTAATTTTTTTACCAAAAGTAAATTTTGTTAAAAGAACCGGTACGTTTACGGTTTTTTTTTTTCAATTCAATAAAATACTATGTAGCATTTCGCCAGCGGCTTCGCCCACGTGGGACTATGTATATTATACTTCTATAACTTCTCATGAATCACTCTTCATTACATATTGATGAAGATCGAGTTGATGAAGAGCGAGTTTGTTTCATACGATAAACCAATTTTGACAGTTTAAAAGTTTGTATTGAAATAAAACACTCAATGGACACATAATAATTTATTCGATGTAACATCATCGGCATTCACTACTTTATTTTTAATACATTTAAAGATCAATTTTGTGTGGCACAAATAAATACATTATACGGTTAAATACAACGTCTGCGCTTTATCTGTGAAATTGAAGACTTACAAATTAAATATGTTTATTTCTATTAATCTACTAAGATCAATATTAATCCATAGACACTAAAATATTTCTAGATACGCTATAAAATAAAAAATGGCATATAATTTATCTATGTGCGACATAAATTAAAAACTATAATAATACTAATACAAAATAATATTATTTTCTATTAAAGGATTTTTCCTATGAGCGTGATATGTATTAAGCCTGAAAACAAACGTTACAATACTTATTCTTCATATTGATTATAGTACAAGCTGGTTTCGTCCATTCCCCCTTTAAAACCGAACCGGCTGTAACCGGTTCAGTTTTAAACGTTAAACCGGTTCCGTTTTAAAGGGGTTAGAGGGGGAAAACAGCGCTCTTGTCCCGGTGACAGTTCTAGAGTGACAAATATGGTTTTAAAAATCTTATTATGGATTAAGTGAGATCTGCTAGAACGGGTTATTCCCGGATCGGTACTCTGATTGGTAGGACCAGCGGGATTTTTGATAATCCCGAGATTAATAAGCTCGGTAGTTTTGTTTTCATACGTCACAAAAGCGACTGACTTTAAATAATAAACCCACAGTTACATAATTCTGTAAATCGCTATCAGAATCGTTATATCTTTTTCAGTGATTGATATCGATTTTAAGATAATCAACCACGTTGTTGTCTCGTAGTATTCAATACATTTTATTTTTTTCCCTGGCACTTTCCTATTATGTAATCGAGGCATTACAAAGACTTATTTCAGTTTCAAATCATTTCCAACCTTATTATATGCATTTCAAATTCTATTTTTCGACAATGACCTACATTACATTTGCCTCCACAGTACATGACGTAAAAATAATTTATTACAAAGGCTTAAATTATAAATTAACAGTTAGGGTCATCCATAATTTTCGTCACACATATTTTACAGATTTCTTTAACCCCCCCCCCTTCCCCTCGTTCTTGTCACAGCTCGTTACATTTGTCCAACTGTCAGCCTATTATGACGTTACATTTGTTTCACCTAGTAATTATTAAGTAGTTACAATTACAATTAAATATTTTGATACTTGTCACATTTCTCCCTAATGATGGAACATATATTTTACAGATTTCTTTACCCCCCTCCCCCTCGTTCTTGTCACAACTCATCACATTTGTCCAACTCACCCTATTACGACGTTACATTTGTTTCACCTAGTAATTATTAAGTAGTTAAAATCACACTTAAATATTTTGACACTTGTCACATTTCCCCCTAATGATGGAACTTATGGATGACCCTTTAGGACAATCAACACTTTAAGCATTATATTCCACAAAACACTCAATCCATTTTCTTCACATTCACTCAAAACATTGTCGACTTTGTAAATTCATCGGTCCAGCTAACCCTCCAGCCATGAGATACGACATCTTAGCGATGTTATACATTTAACTACTTCGACATGTATTTTGGAAGATAAACGAGTTGGTTATGGGTGTCAAATCTACAATCATCATTCATTCGTTCTTCGTTATTGTTGTAGATGTCAAAATCTACGGCTAGAGAGTTAGGCATCACCCTAGATCTTGAATAGCTTAATTCGTAATTGTTTGAATTTATTACTTCGATTGCCAATTAATACAAGACAAAATTCTTTGTTTTCTGTAACATAACTATCAAAATAGCTTTTATTAATGGAATATTTATCAAATATAATAACAAAATAAAGCATAATCACTTATTAATTCTTTAAATATAAATATTCAAATCATATACCTTATTATTTAACACATAATAACTAATTTTGATACACTCACTTAAATATATGCATATCTATAAACCATTCTTATAACTCCCGTCGATATGAGCTCTATTACTAAGCCTATAAAAATGCTTTCAGTCTGGCAAACCTGCCTTTCCCTCTCAAAACAATAATATTATTTGTTTTGGTTATTTTTTTGTGCTTTCTGTTAAATTAACCTTTGTTCCTCAGTAACCACAATATATTAAAGTTCCACAAGTGATTTTGTCTCCACCCTGAATATATTAGTTTAAAATCAGCTGGAGAAATTTGATAATTTTATAAAACCCGACTATCTGTTGGTTGAATAAAGATAATTTGGTTTTTACTCTTCTATGATCGTCTCTTTCCAATCTACAAAAACATCAGTTGCAAGAAAGAGACATTCATTTAGACGTTTAGATTGCTATTATCCCGCTCTAACACATCAAATTATTACTTTAAAGAAAGAGATGGAGCTACAATATTATGTGCATTAAATCTGTCATTGACGAAATTATTAACCGGTATATATCACTCGTTAGTTTTGAAAAAAAAATTTTATGACCCGGCCATCTTAATTTGAAATCGATTTGTAGAAAAAAATAATAACATTCGGAATCCATTAAAAATACTTCATCGATTTATAAGTCACTCGAACGGACAGATTGAATAGCTATCAATAATATTACTAATTTGGGTGCAGTGTCTTTAAATATTTGCTTCTTATTTTAATTATCCATGGTGTGCGGCGGGATCTAAAAATGAGTTCGGGTTTTTTAAAGTGTTCTTAGATATTAAACCTAACAACTTTTATATTTAAAAAAATACGAACAGTATTCACAATAACGATTTAATATTATCGTAAAAATGTGAATAGCTTTTTTTTAATTGTTATTTTTTAATTTATCTTCCATTTCGTTCGTGTTTTCTTTGTATTTTTTTTTTTTTCAGTTAGTATCATTTCCCAATAAAAAAAGGTTTTGGACTCGATAATATTAAATGAATGATTACATCACATTTTACCTCTGAAATTGTTTTAATTTATTTAATATGACTATAGTCTTTATACATTCAGCCAAGCCCTAACAAATTTCACAAGTTAAAATTACCCCAGACCAAAGTTGTGGGTATAAGAATAAAACGGCGCAATCACGCCCGTACACCAGGGGAACCAAAATAGAGTATTTATTAAAGTATCCGACATGGCGTTATTTCTAATAAAAGAAAAATTGTGACTATTGTTTCTTTTCTGAGGTGAATTCCGTCGTTCCTCTGAATTTATCAAAAAATATTTAAATAGAATTCTTATTTTACAATAGACATCAGAAATAATATTGTGATTCATCGAAAACAGATTCTTCATGCTCGATTTTATCAAGAATACATCGGTATCGATTCCGAGATCGATTTATTTCATATTAATCGACATGCCTATTATGAATTCATAATACATCAATACATTAGAATAATGAAATCTCACGATTATAGATCATGAGCCAAGAATGAAATATATTAAACAGAAAAAAATGTGGATTACATTTTGGCGCCCATTTATTATGCAAGACGTATTTTGCCTGTTTTGACCCCATCACTACGTTATGCAAGAAAACGTAAGAATCAGTCGACCCCGGAGTTGAATCTGAAGAAAAACAAAATCAATTCTGTTTCTCTTTAGAATTCTCGTCTACTCCTTTATTTTCTTTCGAATTTTCAAGACTCTCCTTTTAATCGATATCTTACGTAATAAATGGAACAGCTATTACTGCAATAGATTCTAAGATGTCTGATTGTATTTTAAATATTTCAGTAATCTACTAATTACTCAGCGTATATGTAAGCACTTAATATCATAGACGATAACTAATTAGACATTCTCATCTCTCTCTACGTATTCACTGAATATAACCTCACAATCGGGTCTTAGACTTTTGAAATTCTCAACACCAGCCGCTGTTACACCGCTCTCGCTAAAATCAATCGACCTAAGATGAGGTGCTGCAGTAGCTAAATGCTCTAAGCTCCTGTTAGTTATATTCTTAAATCCAGTTATAGATAAGACCCTCAAATTGGATTTATTAGGTCTAGCTCCTCGTTCACCTCCTGGCCTAAACGGTCCAATGTTAACAATGTTTATATCATCAACATCAGCTTTACCGAATCTCCTGACAGCAGAATCCGTCACTAAAGACGTAGCATCCAATCTTGGAGTAGGCGGAGTGTAGAATACATTGCCTACATTCGGTCGGAATCGCAAATGGCTATTCCTGGCAAACGAATAAAATATAGGCGGTTCGTTATGTATCGATAATCGATAAACTGTATGCAGTTGTTGCCCAACGTTTACGTATAATACGTGAGCACGCGGTCTAGCCTCCCTGTTTTGGTAATCAGGATTCTCTCTCTCTCTAGCTTCCCGTTCGCGCATCTCCCTGTCTCTATTTTCGCGAGCCCTCTCCTCTGCTTCTACTTCGTCGGCATCTCTTCTCACTATAACTGGATCCATATTCTGTCTGAATCGGACGTATTCGAATTTCTTCTTTTGATTGGTGTCCGCTTTTGGAACTTTAGGGGTTTCTGCTGAGCTCTTTGAAGTACTGGCGCCTTCGTTTACATTGTTTTTGCATAGTTTCTTCAATGGAACATCATCGTCGGAACTATCTTCGCTGTTTCTATTTTCCTTTGGTGGTTCATCTTTGAGTTTACTCTTTTTAGATGGTACTTCTGCTTTTTTGTAATTCGGCCATATGTGTTGATCATCAATAAGTACACGTTTCAAAGAGGGGCCTGGTTCATCTCTCTCGTCATTACTTTGTGCTTTGTCTTTGGGTGGCTCTGAGGAATTTCCCCTGGACTTTTTACAACCAACACCTGATTGCGGAGACTTTCGCTTAACGTTTTTAGCAATTTTATCGAGTGTTGTTGGATTCTGGGTATCGTTACTAGAACTGGTGCTAGGACGTAAAGTTATTTCTATAACATCCCCAGAAATACTGTGGCGCGGAAAAGAGTTCTGAGCCTCAGAACTAGAACTAGATTGGGAAGCGTTTCGAAGTCCGATGTTGGAACTATTGCTTTCCTGTGTAAAGTTGTGCGAATTACTTTCGGAACTTGTGCTGGCTTCTGAAAAGAGTCCTGTTTCAATTTTGGAACTGGTGCTCGGTTGTGGGGAACTAATGGAGCTTGTGCTGGCTCTTGAAGTGATTTGGATATTACTTTTGAAACTAGAGCTTGGTTGAGAGTCGGATTGAGATTTCGACTGATCGCTCGACGCGTTCGTGTTGGCACTAGTACTGGGACGTAGAGTGACCTCTATAACGTCTCTTGGGTTAACATTGGGCGGTAAAAAGTTTTTGAATGAACTTTTGGAGGTGCTCGGTTTTGCGTTTTGGGCATTGTCTTTGGTGTTAGCGTTGGGTCTTAAAGACACTTCTATAATATCTTTGGAACTAGTGCTGGGTTGGGCGGTATGTTTTTCATTTTTAACAGATTGGTCAGCACGTTTTCTCGTTGAACATCTGAAAGTAAAAAGTATTAATGATATTTTTATCAAGAGCGAGTCTTATTCGAATAACTCGATGGCTAAATGGACCCGCGATATTTCGACGCTTAAGAACCAAGACCATCTATCTACACTTTTGGCGACTTTTTTAATGCAGTTCTTTTCGTGGTTAATTTACGCATCGTTTCCTTTAATCGATTACTCAAAATTCGCAATAAATAAGGAGTTATGAGAAAATACCTATACTACCTAAGTTACTTCGCTAATAATTGTATGGAAATACCACCTAACTACAGAGGACACGTAATAACTCGTTTTAAAATTTAATAAAACGAAGAGTTTTTTGTTTGATTAAAGTCTTTAATCTATATTATTTCGTTTGCCAATACCATCCATATTACAGTTAGCTGCATAAACATACGCAAATATTTTAACTTATACCAGCTATCTACAGTAATTTTGAAACTTATGAAGATTTCTTGAAATACATGTAAACACCTTATTTCTCCATGCCTATCCATTAAATGATCAGATATAAAAAATCTTGGTGTAGAAAAAAAATATGAAAAGTTTTTTTCCTCTCCTGTAAAATCAACTTTTTGTAGATAGATGGTCTTTATTCTTAAGCTTCGATTTGTCGTTTAGCATCTTCGCAAGGGTCGGTCACGGGATAGGTGATCGAAAATTATTATCTCGAGCTACTCTGTGCTCCGGAAGGTATAGTAAGCCGTTGGTCCTAGCGGTCCTTCAGATGTATGAAGTCGTTAGCACCCACCAATCCGCACTCTCCCGATTCAATTCTATTCATAGGGAAGGCTTAAGCCTCAGCAATGATGGTATTAATAAGCTGCTGATGATGATGATTAGCGTAGATTTACTTGTTACAAACCTGATTCCTTCCATGCAAAGATTGTATTCCAAGCCGTGAAGACATATGTTGTTCTCGTAGTTACGCAGTTGCTCAATATGCTCCTCTATATCTTCTATGGACGTGGTGGCCCGAGTGTCTATCGGTTCCACAATCTGTGGCTTTATTTGAAAGTATTCCGGTTCCTATGAAAATATTATCTTTTATTGAATAATCAATAGTAAAACTACTATAAAGCGTCTTGATTCTTAAAAAAAAATATATAGAAAAATATCATATAACAAGAAAAACGGAGGTCCCATACGACTACCTTGTGGAATCCCTAATGATATAATGGTCTGGTTAATATCAGATTATTTTCAGATTGTTATAAATTAGACATGTTGATTGTTACATGAAATATATCTAAAAATATATAGAAAAGTGTCATTCATATAATAAATTAAAACCTACCTGTATCTCCCATGGCTGCAATTCCTTGTGGGGGGGCAGCCGCTCGTCGCGGCAGTGCGAGTGGTGGGGGGGCGCGGGCGGGGGCAGGCGCGCGGGGGACAGGTACAGCTGCTGGAGGGCGGGCAGCCAGCCCAGGGCTGACACCTCCGAGTCGCCCAGCGGGGACCCGCGCACGTCCAACAACTGACCGGTGACAACCATGATTACTAACAGGGTATGGGGCCGTTCATTAATCACGTGATGTTTTTTCAGTATTTTTAACCCCCCCTCCCCCTTAGTGCTACATGGTGAGGTTTAAGACTAACCCCCCATCCTCCACCCAAATCACGTGTATTTTTTAGTACCTACAAAAAAAGCTTAATTTTGACGCCGCTTTTCGGTTCAGTAATGGCGCGGTCGAGGAAAAGATAAATACACGTTTTTACTACACCCCCCTACCTCCTTGTGATATTTCGTGATTTTTTACGAACCTCCCCCCCCCCTTTCGAGCCTCACGTGATTAATGGGCGGCCCCTATTCTATTGAAATAGTGCCTAGTCTAGCCATTAATTTCTGTTACTGGCTGTTTATACAAATAAAATAAAAAACATTCATTTGAATTTCGAATATTAGCTTCTACGATAAAAAATATAGACTTCTTTCCCGCCATTATTATAATACTAATTTATTTATATATTATAATCAGAGGTCGGAATTGGGTAGAGTTATTTATGTACTTGCATCGAAATGTTGATATTAATGTGGACCTTCCCGGGATTTCTTTATTTCTTCTTTCTTTATTTCGTTCTTTCATTGATGTGAGTTTGGCAACGTCGTGCGTGCAGTAGTTTAAATTGTGTAAAAATAAATAACTTTTTATTTAAAAAATCACGGGATTTTTTCTGCTATTTAAAATTAATCTCGGGATTTGAGACACATCCACTTTATTCTTTCGCTGTATGAAATCAGTGTAAGTACATGAATAACTCTACCTAATTCCGACCACGGATTATAATACCCGTACATTGTTGCGTTTTAAAACGGCGGTAACTATTGTGGTGGCGTTACATTATAATACGACCACAAAGGGTGCGAAGAAATCTATAAACAGATTTATTCTATTTATTTTAATCCTCAAACACCGGAATATCTTAAAGATCATTTCGTTTTTACTCTTGTAATTCAACTATCACTTTGCTTAGACCACCCGATTAACATCAAGGGTATGTTCCGATATACACTGCGACCACTGAACAGTATGACGTCAATTTAGTATACTGGAAGCCCGTTCCTTTATAGCTAGTTATACTGGTGACTTTTTAAAACGGAACGCAGTCCAGTATACTGTTAATTCTTTTTTTTGGCGCCATTTTCAAATTTGTTAATGCAAGGTGAATATAAAACATTATAAAATTGTGTATAAAAAAATTATTTATCAATTAAATCCATCTTATAAATAAACGTAAGTATTTTTTATTTTTTATTTAGAAACTTATCATTTTCTGATTCTGTTTCGACTAATCACGTGATCAAAAGCACTGCGAGCACCTTACCTCGAAATCTCCAGTGCTCACAGTACAAATATGGCGGCAATTTATGACGTCATAAATTTCCCTAGGGTACTGTAGCAGTGTACTGGCAGTCCATAACGGAACGGATTTTTCAGCAGTAAGACCACTGCGCAGTGCTCGCAGTGTATATCGGAACATACCCATAATAAACTTTATCATTCATTCTATATCTTTAAAAAAATCGATAGCTATTGCTTGTAATAATAATAATCATTTATAATAATCTTTATTTTATTTTCTTCTACATTTTGATCAACAAATGTGTACAACATACAAAATACAGCAAGTTTATGTAGAAGATAGTCCAAACTAGACCCCGTTCTGTGGCACTCCTGACCTCTCGAATTAATAATCACAATGTCATTTTTAAAGAAACGGGTTCAAAACAATGAAAAGCTTGTAAAATTGTTGTAGCGTAAAGTTTCTTTCAAATGTGAAATTAAAAAAAAATCAAAGTGATCGTGATATATTTTAAAATAATATAAATTAGACAAATCCTTTCCTACGTGTTACCTACCTCAAGTTGCCTGAACCCATATCTCGTCGCGAGCGAAGCGTACGCCACGAATTCCGCCATTCGATGACAGTCGCGTAGTATAAGATGTGTCAGTTTGTTCACTTTGCTCAACGGCAAAAAAGAGGCAGGCTCCAGCCACTCGCACTCGGATAAATCTAAATACTGCGTTGAAACACACAAAAACACATATGTAATGTCGCAGTCGAATTGGCTTAGATATAAAAGCTGTTGTAATCCCTAATAAATAAATAAAAAAACAGTCTTCATCATAAGCAACAGCCAAAATAACTATTACCCAATATAAATTTAATACAGAATTTGTTTTCACCATAAGTTTTAAATTAGATCAAAATTATAAATAATGAATTAGTTTTCTCTTTCCAATTCTATAATCATGTGTACAACAAACTGATTATCTATCTATCTATAGTCAAAAGATAACAGTTTGATACTCACCTCCAACTGAGGCAAATAATCTTGGATGTTGAAGAGAAAAGATTTATCCAATGGCAGATTGTAACACTTCGACCCGCGGAGTGATAGCTTCTTCAAAGTTGGCGGAAAGTGGTTGATACCGGTCTGTTATAAAAAAAAAAATGACATTAAAATAAAATAATAATGCCTCTACCATAACCAAAATCAGAATTAATTCTACTAATGTAAGATCCTTTAAAAATATCCCAAATAAAAATAATAACCTAGCTTTATTTATTTATATTTTATTAAAATAAGTTGATGATAAATTACTGACACCTTTATTGATTTTGATTTTAGATTTCATATAGGCATTTGATACAGTTACCCTTCAATTGTATTCCTTACAAGACTGTTCAAAAAACATTTAAAACATACATTCAATTTTACAAATAAGTTGTTAGATAATGACAACGAACAACATCTTACTTAATTTAATAAACCAACATGGTGTACCTCGAGGAATCGTATTAGGGCCTATTCTTTTCTAAAGCGACGAACGAGTTTCACTGAAATTGCGATGATGACAGAACGTACAATTGAAAAGCATAATGAGCTTTAATTCGATAACGGTAAGCTGTGTAATACTCTGCACTATGTAGTAAGTGACAGTCGACGGCGCGATACTTGACCAAAATTTGACGAGCACAGACATTTATCATGTCATCATGTTGTAATAATATTGTTACGGAGTGCAGCGGCATGGTTTGTAAACACATTACTAGATGGCGTTATGCGCTACCGAATCGCGCTAATACCGTCGAAAGGGACGGGCACTCGAGAGGAAAGGGACGGGTAGACGCTCTAGAAATTTTTCATAATGCCTTGAATAACTAGTACATTCTAGATGTGGTAAAGTCCACCTCTGCCCCCATAAATATGCGGTGGGCTATCCGTCCCGGCATTCTTTCATTTCAACTGAAAACTAGAACGAATACATGCAAAAACCGAAGCTAAGTGAACAATCTGCACGACCTATTAGTGTTGTAAAGTGGCCTTAGTGACGTGTATAGTGAAGTTATCGAGTGTTTTAATTTATTAAACTAACAGGCAGTTGCACAAAAGTCCATTAAAATTGTCATTGATTTAAAGCGACATACCCAGTATATTATTAAGTATATTGAGTATATAGTATATTATTAATATATTCACTCAATTATAAGATATGCAATCACAGTATGGGGAAATGCTGCTGAAATACAGAGTATGCTCAAACAACAAAAAAGGGCAATAAGAACTATAAATAGCGTAAGTAAGCGTACATCAGCGAGAGCCTATTTTAAGAAAGGCGGAATAATGACCTTTGTTTCCTTATATATATATATATATATATATATAATAGCTTGTTGGAAATCCATGTAGAGAAGGAAAATTTTTCAAGAAAAGGTGCTTCTCATCGATATCATAATGAAAAGTTACGTCATACAAAGGTAAAACTAAAAAAAGTTCAAAAACAGGGTATTTATCTAAAAATAATAATGTACAACAAATTACCTTTAAGTGTTACAAACAAAAACCACAGTAGCTTTAAAAGTATTCTGAAATCTTTTATCGAGCATAATCCTTTCTATTCCTTAAATGAATTTTTGACGATGCGTATAAGCGAATCTACTTTTATGACATGATGTAATAAGATACTGTAAGATTTTTTTTTTCTTTTGAGATTTAGATTTAATTGGACTATGAATTGTGAACTGACATACCTTGTATAACAATATTGTTATAAATGGCTAATAAATAAATTGAAATACCCATAAAAAATTGACTTTCATTAGAACTAAAAGGCAGGGCTTGAAACCGGTTCAGAATAAACCGTTTTTATTTAGGTAAAACCTGTTCTCTTATAATGTTCCGTTCCGGTCGGAACTGAATGCAGAGTGAAATTCGGATGGAATAAAAACCGGTTAATTCGCTTGGTTCGTAAAAAGCAATGTTCTTACGCTTTTAATGCGAATTACATCATTTTTAAGCGATGACATTTATCATACCTGTGTACGGATATTATAGATAGGAGTAAAGGCACTTAAAAAACGCGCTGAAGTTTGTGAGATCATTGTTTGGAGTCATATTTAAACTGGTTGATGAAGAAAATCGTATTTCTAGTGAACCAGTTTAAAAACCTGTTCAAAGGAGCTGAACCTTTTATGTAAAGTTGTGCATGTACTTACGTCGAACCGGTTCAAAAAATTAACCGGTTTCCAAGCCCTGCTTAACTTAATGGATATTTGTGCAACTGACCGTAAGAGTCGTATTGTGAATTTAACAGGCGTTAATTTTCATACAAATAATATCTGAAACCAAACTTACGGTATTACAATTGATATTGCAGTACTGCAGCGCGAGCGACGTGAGCGAGCATTGCGAGCGCAGCTGTCGCAACATACACTGTGTCAGAGTGAACTGTGGACCGGGACACGACCCGTCCAATAACACCACATCCTCCGGGTCCACTTCTGCTGGACCCTCTTCCGGCCACGACAAGATACCGCTGTACCTAACAGCCATTAATGATATGGAAAAATTTATATCATGTAAAGATATTACATGACTTTCTTTAGATTCAAAATATCCGCCAGCGACTTCACCCGCGAGGTTCCAAGGGAACTTTTTAGTGGGATAAAAAGTAGCCTATAATTAATTTGGATAAGGTTTCATATCATACACGGATATAATAATAATGAAAAATTGATTAATAAACAATTGTTACTGTGGTAACTTTTATTCCCATTTTCATCCCTTTATTTGCTGTATTTCCGGATAATATATATCCTATGTTCACAGCGTATGATGTACAGAGGTCAGAATTAGGTAGAGTTATTTATGTACTTGCATCGAAATGTTGATATTAATGTGGACCTTCCCGGGATTTCTTTATTTCTTTCTTTTATTGATGTAAGTTTGGCAATGTCCTGCGTGCAGTAGTTTAAATTGTGTAAAAGTAAATAACATTTTATTTAAACTTTTTCTGCTCTTTAAAATTAATCTCGGGATTTGAGGCATATCACTTTATTCTTTCACTGTATGAAATCTGTGTAAGTACATGAATAACTCTACCTAATTCCGACCACTAATGATGTAGCTTCCCGTAGGTGAGAGAATTTTCAAAATTGGCCCAGTAGTTTTGGAGCCTTTTCGATGCAAACAAACAGACCAGTAACTGTAAAATATCCACCAACTCCAGATACTCCGAGATGGGACTCAAAACCAGCACCCAAACAGGCAAAAATAATTAAAAAAAAATATTAAACGCTTCGCCTGCATAAGTATTGCTTATGTTACTCGCATATGATGTACCTTCTCGTAGGCGAAAGGATTTTCATTATCGAATTTTCCTGATTGCCGCATACTAACGTCTGGGAGTGACTTTTGACCGTAAATGTGGCCAGGACACACGGCTTAACGTGCTGTTATATATAGTACTAGCTTTCCGCCAGCGGCTTCGCTCGCGTGGTCCGCTGGTACCTTACTCACAGATCTGACCCCTCCTCCCGCACAAGCACCCACGCCATGGTGACGCCCACTTCGCAATGTTAATATTTTAATTTCGCCATAACTTCAAAAGCAAACGTCCAATTTTAATCATTCAAAGACCAAATATCATCTACATAAACTGTACTTAGTGATGAAATAATTTATTTTGATAAGGATTAATAGCATGAGTGAAATAAACGCGTTTAAATGTAGTCCAAAGAAAAATAAAGATTTTGTAAATAAAAAAAACGGTTGTTGTGCCTCACTCGACATAGATAGGTGTGTCGCGGACTTTTTTGTAGATTTTTGTAAGATCTACAATTCATTAGAACATTTTATGGTTCTATCTTTTATAGTTTAGGCAGCGTACGCAAAATAAGTAACTTTTCTGGTGGTTTTTTTTACACCCAAATATCTTACGGAACCCGATTTTTTCAAAAATAAAATATAGCCTATGTTCTTCGTGGATAATGTAGCTTTCGAATGGTGAAAGAATTTTTAAAATCGGTCCAGTAGTTTTTGAGTCTATTCATTACAATTAAACAAACAAACAAAGTTTCCTTCTTTATAATATTAGTATAGACATGTAGGGGTTTGTGCTGAGGAAGTTGCCTGAATCTGCTGACTGAGCATTCGTGCTCTGACGTCGCTGCGCAACCACCATTGGAATCGGTCTCGATTAATAAAATCTAAATATATATAACTCAAAGGTGACTGACTGACATAGTGATCTATCAACGCACAGCCCAAACCACTGGACGGATCGGGCTGAAATTTGGCATGCAGGTAGATGTTATGACGTAGGCATCCGCTAAGAAAGGATTTTGATCAATCCTACCCCCAAGGGGATAAAATAGGGAATGACACTTTATTTCAGGTATTTTACACGATATAAAGAATAAATATTTGTTAGAAATACTGCTCAAAGTAACTTTACCACTCGGAGGAAGTCGCGGGCAAAAGCTAGTATATTATAAATTTAAAACCCATCACCGGTCACCCATCCCGTGACCGACCTTTGCGAAAGTCGCTTAACAACATCGATCGCGGGCCGCGTCGCTTGTCCGCTGCGCCACCGACCTAATCTAATAATTACCCGAATGAAAACATTTGTTCATTTTCCGTTTGCTTACTTTATGTTCTAGTGCTGCCATCTACGGCAAGCTTTGCGGAACGTTCCCATTATAGTGAAGTTCTCACCTCGGCAATTGCTGCGCGTATAATCTCTGCAATCTTGTCAACGGATCCTCCCTTATCATTTGAACTGGACTTCCGACAGTATCAGTGGAACCTAGACAAAGAAAAATTCAGATTAAAAAAAATACTATTATTACCAGAGGTCGGAATTAGGTAGAGTTATTAATGTACTTGCATCGAAATGTTGATATTAATGTGGACCTTCCCTGGATTTCTTTATTTCTTTCTTTCATTGATGTAAGTTTGGCAACGTCGTGCGTGCAGTAGTTTAAATTGTGTAAAAGTAAATAACTTTTTATTTAAAAAATCACGGGTTTTTTTCTGCTCTTTAAAATTAATCTCGGGATTTGAGGCATATCCACTTTATTCTTTCGCTGTATGAAATCAGTGTAAGTACATGAATAACTCTACCTAATTCCGACCACTGATTATTACAGAATTAAAAAAATATTAAGCCTATGTTAAAAAAAAAAACTATTTAGTCCGTCAAGACAAATAATTGGAAAATATAAAATACATATTTTTTTAGCTTCAATATAATAACAAGTAACAGCTAAGGATACAGAGGCGGATCCAGGAGTAGCGACATCTAGTTTGATTTCGGGAACTAATGTTTTTTAAATCATCATCATCATCATTTACGTCCCCACTGCAGGGGCTCAGGCCTTCCTAACAGATAGTTAAGGAGGATGGACCACGACCACTCTCCACTCTGGCCCAATGCGATTTGGAAGGTATTAACGACTGAAAATGCAGCCGGCCCCCTAATTGTCTAATTTTAAATCTATTGCAATCGCTTTCAGTTTGAAAGGTGTTGCACAACCATTGCTGCATAATACAAATACTTTTTTTCAACTGTCTTCAGAAACAAGCAATGGTTGTGCAACACCTTTCAAACTGAAAGCGATTGCAATAGATTTAAAATTAGACAATTAGGGGGCGGGACCAACGGCTTAACGCGCCTTCCGAAGCACGGAGTAGCTCGAGATAATAATTTTTTCGGTCACCCATCCCGTGACTGACCCTTGCGAGAGTTGCTTAACGACAACGATCGCGGGCCGCGGCGCTTATCCACTACGCCACCGAGCTACTTAACTTTTTTAAATACTTCCTCATTAAATACAATTGAATTAGACGAAGTGATAACGCGTTTCGGGAGAAGACGTAATAGAAAAATTGTTTTTGTAAATATAGGTAAGTATTTTTAGTACATGCAACACTTACATTTACTTACAAAATACCCTTTTTACTTATATGTATTTGTATCAAAATTAAATTATAATTTTCTGCGACTGGACTACGACTATTTCACCATCCACCTGCCTTGGCCTGGCCGAGGAGCAGAGTTGAGGAGTGGGGGCTATGTCACAACTATGTAAATATGTACAAAGGTGTGACGTTATGCGACATTTCGACTCGATGTGTCGCTATAATTTATTTATTACGTAAAATATGAAAGAAGAAATACGCGAATAGCGTTCTTCAATAACCTATCTGACGGACAAACAAAAATATTAGCCTACATGCATCCCTCTACGCAGATACAGTCAACATCACGTCAGATTATACAAAACTGTCAAACATAATTTTAAACCTAAAGCATTGAGACGAGAGCTCAACTGCAAATAGGGTTGTGTCCCACAAGTGAAAACATTGGTTTCTGTTATACGAACCGTTTTAACTTATAAACGTTTAACAAAATAAATATTATTACACTAATTTGGAAAACGTTACACTTTAAAAATTTGAAAAAAAAAAATGACGAAAATATATAAAAAAATTTGCTTAAATACACATGGCATTATAAATTAAATAAAACGTAATAACTTTTATTAAAACAGCCATAAACATAAACGCACAAATAACAAAGATTGCACAGGGACGCCCGTACGTTTTTCGCTACAATACTAAACTGTGACGTCACATTTTAGTCTGCGTCCGTTGGGACAAACAAAGCACCGTATCTCCTAAACTATTAATCGCAGACATGCTGTTACTTCTACATTATTTCTCAGATATTAATGGACTATTTATTTATAAAATAAAAAAGTTGTCAACTAGCATACTACACATATTATAGATAGCCTGAGATTCTGCTGTACATCAGTTGTAGTGTAAATGCAAATCAATATAGTCATATACCCGCTTGACTGGACTCGCTCGTCGAAGCGGTAGGTGTTTGTGGCTCCTTGTCGTCTTTCTTATTCATCATCTCGATCTCGTCTTCGATCTCCTTCCTCTTTCTGTCCACGTGACCGAGACATCTGAATAAATAAACGAATGAATGAGTAGCAATACAGGTGACGGCAAATTTATATTTATCCGTGAGGTAGATTAGTTAATTTTTATTTTTTAATTAATCAATAAATTACAGGCAATACATTGAGTTGAAATGTCGCATGACGTCACGCTTTTGTACATTTACTACAAAACTGTGACGTAGCGAGCCCCCCACTCCTCAACTTTACTGCCTGTTATCTAAACCATTTCTTGTTTAAATTGAAACAAAAAAAAATACATATCTAATATTTTTCTATTATCCTACTGTCGGACTAAGTAGAATTTCCTTTTTTTTTACCCAGTGTTTATCCCAAAATCTTAAATCTCGAGCTTCTGTAAAAATCCAAACCCGAATCGGAACTCACTCATGTGTCTGGATTCAAGTCATTTAGTGAAGAAATTCTATTGATTCCATTCTTTGTTATAAAAGTATTTTATTTTATTCTATTCCTATTGTTAATGTTTGAAATTTAACTTTGCCTTCTATCACTGTCCTATCCAGTCTCTGGTAACACTGATGTATCTGTGATTAAAAAAAAAAATATGTTTCTCTATGGTTGTTGCAAGAAAAAAAAAACATGTTCCTCTATGGTTGTTGCAAGTGTCTCGTTATTATTTTTACCTTTAACATCCATATTAATCAGGTTAAATAATAATTACATTATATTAAAATCACACCTATGTCATTTCGATACTCACTTCACTTATGCCTCGAAACGTTATTGCCAATTCAAGATTGAGCGGACGCCGCTTTTTTAAAGTGAATTCGAATTCGGGTTTGGATTTTTATAGAATCGCAGAGCTGTTTTAAACATGAAGACCTAATATATTTCTTGCAAAACAATATTCCACCTTTTGACGATACGCTAATATGACTCGAAAGAATCGGATTTTTCGATAATTTATGACGCAAATGAGGTAGGAGCTGACACTGGCTCCGATGAACAGATAATGTTTATAAGAGCGGTTCGAAATTTTTCCGATTCTTCGTTCAAAGTCAAACAGAAGAATCCGGCGTATCTATATTCAAAAACATTCTACTATCATAACTACGTATGTGGTGTCCCGAGACACATATGGGCACAAGATCGACAGCCGGTTTCTGAATTTAGCAAAGTAACAAAATCTTAACAGATAATTCAAAAATACTTAAAATTCTTTACACGGCAAATACTTGTCAAACTGCAATCAGCTGATCATTTAAATAAAAAATTATAAACAGAAACGAAAACCTGTTTGAGGACGTTTAAAATGGCTAAAATACGGTTTGGGAAATGCTTTAAATTTTAAATTCTCAATGAGGAAGTATTTATAAAAAAAAAGAAAGCACTAAAAAAGCACCTCCACTAGATGACGACTCTAGCAAAAGTTGATTTTTGCAGGACACGAATGGACCAAACACAGTCATTTCCGTTCCTTTTAACTAGCATATTAAAAAACTGAAATTTGCTAGTTCGAAACTTATATATCAATACAAATACGAAAAAGTACAAATAGAACATGATTCGTTTATTGAGTTTTGAAAACTAATTTACTTTTATACATGAAAGAAAACCGGAAGGGTTGTCATGGAGAAATCAAGAAAGTACCGTGGCGACATTTAGTTAGATTTCGGGAACTAATTTTTTTTTTTTTAATAATTAACTCCTCATTGTGATTGCACGATGCAAATAAAGAATTATCTCTCTAATTCGTAGGAGTTAGACAAACAATCTCACCCTTTAGCCTCCCTAGCGTATCCAGTCAATAATAACTCTGTGGTATTTGATCCTAGCGCGTGTGCTAGCAGCCATCTCATTCTAGCACGACCGGTCGGCTCCTCGCGTGCGTCCACCCGCTGCCATAGCGTGCGATCCCTGATGAGACGCCCTAGACGAGGGCATGTGCTAGACAAGGACAGATGCAACACCTGACATATCGGATGGCAATCAATAAGGTTGAATTAAAGTAGCTACTCTTATATTTATTTTTCTGTTATATAAATATTGTGATGGAAAGCGACTTTTATAATGTATCAATCTGGTAATGACATGGTTCTTGTGAATGTCGTTAATACCATTAGAGCTGGTGAGATTCTTGCTCGTTCTTCTTATCAGCCACAAATCCTGAAGGAGTGGTAGTGCAAAAAAATATTGGACAATTCTTAAAAAATCCAGTTTGTCTCTAGCACCCTGAGGTGGGATTCGAACCCACGACCTTTCGCAATCCGGCCTGCTCTAACCACTGAGCCTACAGTACTTGAAACAATATTCTTAGATGAAAATTCTTAAAAAATCCATTTTGTCTCTAGCACTCTGAGGTGGGATTCGAACCCACGACCTTTTGTATTCCGGCCTGCTCTAACCACTGAGCCTACAGTACTTGAAACAATATTCTTAGATGAAAATTCTTAAAAAATCCAGTTTGTCTCTAGCACTTTAACCACTGATCTGCCCAGGACCTAACAGGACTGACGAATGCTTCAAGCACTTACTACTTTTCCGCTAAAAAACAGCTGAAAGAAATACCTATTTTATATCTTCCTCACACATCAACGGTGATAGATATAGGTCCGGACCCCCCCCCCCCCCCCTTAAGTTCTATGAAGCCATGATGATATGTAATAATATTAGGTTTTTTAAATTTAGGGTTTTCTCCGTAATATGAATGTGAAGTGCGAATGGTTAGGTTAGGTTAACTTCGAATTATTACCTTCTTACTCTAAACTTATTAGAGTAAGAAGGTAATAATTCGGGTATTCCTTTATACGTTACTAGGAATGCTCACACGCATCCTTTCTACGTATATCCTAAAAATCGCAGCTTTATGCATGAAATACATATATCCGATATGCATAGAATAAATATTAAATATTTTTCATATACATGATATGATATACATATATTAAATATCGGATATTTTGAAATTTATTATGAACATCGTATTTCTGCGAACCCTGAGTAGAACGTTAAGCTTTAAACAGATTAGAAATAGTTAAAAAAGATATATTCGGACATCTCTAATGAATACTTACTATCCCAGCGCTTTCAAATCTCTCGGCGAGCAGTTTTTCAATATCAACAGCAAGACATCATCGGACAGATCTAACAGTTCCGCTTCCTTCAATTCTCCGTCCGACTGCTGTGATGGTGGACCTACTGGGAAACATTATTTACATATTTAATACAGTACTGCAACATGGTATGTATAAATTAATTGTCAGTAATCTATTCGACAACTCTCATCTAATCATACTATGATAATTGAGATAAAATTATATTTTTAATTACGCCAAATTGACACAATCTATTAAATCAGTTGGGTAGTTTCATATTTTATTTATTTATTTATTACATTCCACAATGTAGTATTAGGATGTTTATAAAAAAAAACAAAAGTATCATTATGGATCCCGTCGGGCACAGCAATTTGGAGAGAGGGGAGGACACTGCTTTAAAATATTGGTAATAAGTATTTCCTTTCTTTTATAAACTAAATAATTTATGTTTTGATAACTTACCCATTTAGCAGATATTTAAATTAAGTAAAAATTAAAATACAATAGTAGAATCTTATATTTAAATTAGATTATATTTAGAGTTTTACACTTAGGTATTCTTGTATGGTACAATAATTCTTTTTAGTTAATAAATTATTTAATTTTTTCATGTAATTTTTTCTTTATTTAAGTTTTTTATTGGGTTTGGGGGTCATCCATAAATTACGTCACACTTTAGGGTTGAGGAACTATGACATTAGAACAATATTTAGTAGAATTTATATGGATAAATAGGTGACAGGAGGGGAGGGGGGGAGGGTTAAAATCCTGAATTTTGTGTGACGTAATTTATGGATGTAGATTACTGTATATATGTCATTGCCAGTGGACCAGAGGAGTGTAATTTTAAGCGGGAGGTTTCTATGGTTATTATTCAGAATGCGTAAATTGTCAGTTGTTCTTTCTTCACGTTTTTAATGACATAACTCATGACATGAGATTTTAATAATAAAAATTGTTGTTAGTGAACCACATTCATCATCATCACCAGCCCTTTTACGTCCCCACTGCAGGGGCTCAAGAATCCTTATGGATAGTTAAGGAGGATGGGCCATGGCCCTCCACGCGGGCCCAATGCGGATTGGAGGGTATTAACGACTGCAAATGCAGCAGAGAGCAACGGCTTAAAGTGCCTTTCGAAGCACGGAGTAGCTCGAGATAATAATTTTTTGGTCACCCATCCCGTGACCGACCCTTGCGAAAGTTGCTTAACGACTACGTTCGCGAGCCGCGGCGCTTATCCACTACGCCATCGAGCTACTCGAACTTTGAACCACATTAAAACTAATAAAAACAAAATTATGTTAGATTTCCTTTTTTTTAAAACATAATACTTCAAAATTAAAAACTATCATATTTTAGTAATTGTTATCCTGTAAAGGCCACTAATTAGCACACACATTAAAGAATTACGTTAACACAAAAGGGCCATTAAAAATGAAGAAGCTAATGGAAAGTTATTAGTAGACATCAGATTATATGCATTTTCATGTTTGCATATGCAAATCCATATAATTTAATTTTTTTTATAGGTACTTTTTCATTAACAGCGCCTATGTTAGTAGGGTGGGTGCACCAGTGCCGCACCAGGAACCAGTAGTACACCATTTCTAACTTCACATCAAAATATTAACCTTCTGTCAAATTTCCCACAACTCTTTTTTTGTTTGTGGCACTGCCGTACTTCTATCAGTCATTTATTCATATATATAAACGATAAATATGCATGCCAATTATATATCAATTGTTGTAACTTATTTTCTAATTAGCTGTATAATACGAGTATAATGTGTAAAGCAATGATTTTATGTTTTATTTCATCTGAAAATGGCAATTTAAGTTAATAATCGTCATTGGTAAACTAATGGAACACAAATTTAATACATCATTTGGTCTATAGCTGGTAAATTAGCTTTTTGTTTCTACATTTATGTTTCCTAGATTACTGTAATAATAAATATAAAAATGGCTTAAAATAATAATAATATACCTGTTTTAGACCAGTGGTTTATTACTGGTCATATGTATACCATGAATATGTTCCAGTAATTGACCGCCTAAATTTTTTTAAAGGCACAATGCCGCTATTAAAAAAAGTTTTTCAATTATAAGGAGGAACATGTCATAAAAGTGAAACGATATAAGCGAAAGTTATAGCAATGTGCAGAAAATATAATATTGCCCGCCCTACCATCATAAATAAAATGAAACTGAAGTATCCTGCTCAATGAAAAATGGGACCTCGCACCCTTGATCAAGCAAGAAGAATCCTTGCTAAAACTTCTTGATTCTCTTCAGTGAAAAAAAAAATCACTGAAGACAATCCACCTTTCGAGATAATACACCAGGCAGAAAATGGTTCTCCAGTTTCTTAAAGTGACATCCAGATATAGCTGCACGTCATGTATAATCTATAAACTTTTCTATAAGTCTCGTAACAGAAACTACTCTGAGACTATGGCATGCAAATTTAAAAGAATATATAGTCCCTGAAGGCATTACTGATATGTAAGAGGATTATATTATTAATATTATTAGCATTTAAGTATCACATAAAACTTATAGACTGATAGAAAGTTGTGATGATTGTTGCTTAATTATAATATGAATTTCCTAATTAATATCATATGTTTTATTTACTGTTTATTATTGGCACATATCTGGTGTATTGCTGGTACAATCTGGTCAACCTTAGGGACATTGTGACTATATGCATTTATTTTTAAATAAAAAGATAACTTATGGCTTTTAAGAAAATTGGAATTAATTACATGATTTTAAGGTAGACAAGGAGTATGTCAAACCTTTTTGTTTGCAATTATTGTTTATATAAATGAGTCATCATCATCATCATCATCATCATCATATCAACCAAGAGACACTCACTGCTGAGCATAGGCCTCTCCCAGCGCTCTCATCAATAATGAGTCACAACACCTTAATTTCTTTTAAAATGTGGCTTAATTGGTTTGTTACTGGTACACAGTTATACATTGTTTTCATAGCAATCTCAAAAGGATCTATCACAAAAGATTTGTAGCAAATTATATACAGTTTTGGTAATATCCCAGTCTTGAAGGCATAAAGAAAATTAACTTATTATTAATTGAAGATATAATGTATTTATATTTTAATATATGTAAAAGGTATTAATATATGTATAATATATAAATATATAAGAAAAAATAAATATAAACTTGTGTAATAAATGCTTTTTTGATTGTGCACATTATGCCATTTTTGTGCATATTTTTGCATATAATGTGCATTTTGATGCATATAATGTAATATCTAGTTATAAGTAATACTTCTATAGCACTACTAAATTAAATATCAATTGTATGATAGTACTTTTCAACTCTACTAATAATGAAGGTGTAAGAAGTAAAATATACCCTTGTACATGTCTATACAATTTTTGTTATTACTTGTGACAAAGAAATAATTGTGAAAAATATATTTTTAAGAGTGGCACAAAATATCCCGTATTATTTTAACCGAATGCTGTAAAAAGCTATTTGAAGGGTAGACTTTAAGTTAAAAAAAAAATGACAAAACTAGAGATAAAATAAAATTACACAAGGATAATTTATTTATGCAAGTGCAACTTGCACAATTGTAAATAAAAAAATAAAGATAACATGACAGCAAATGTTTGACTTTACATTCTGGGAGTATGCATTTTGTGAGGACCGAAATCGTATTGCGATGACAAAGGAAATTGTAGTTAAAATAGTTCACTTACCATCTTGAACACAACCACTATCGTCGAGTTCTTTATCTTCTTCTTTTGGAATTGTCTCCATTTTCACAAAGTTTAATTCACAGACACTCTTTATAGTTTCATTGAAACGCCCGACATAAGTTAGTCACACAAACAACGGAGACAAAGGAACTTGGATGATTAAACAATTTTTATTTAGCCGAGATAATAAACAATTCGTTTTTGGAATGATTCCAAGCAAATCGCAATTTCACCGTTTTCTCGTCAATAAAACCACCAAACGCAACTTCATGCAAATCAGAAATCATTAAATTTAGAAAAAAAAAACATGAAATTTGGGATACGTCAAATTGACATTTAAAAACAAACAAACAGTGTTGCACTCATAAATGAAAACACAACCTACATCATGAAAATGAAATGGAAAAATCATAACCTCACTAAATGGCGACTCTACCAAAAGTTGATTTTTGCAGGAAACAAACCAAAGACAGTCATTTCCGTTCCTTTTGAAAAATAATATTAAAATATGTGAAATTTGCAACGTTCGAAACCTAGGTATCGATACAAACAGGAAAAAGTACAAATAGAATAATTATGAGTTGTTTATCGAGTTTTGAAAACTAATTTACTTTTATACATAAAAGAAAACCTGAAGGGTTGTCATAAAAAAATCAAGAAAGTGCCGTAGCGACATCTAGTTTGATTTTGGGAACAAATTTTTTTATATACTTCCTCATTCGGTTGAGGTAGGTGATTTTGCGCCTTTCAAGTTTGTTCAAGGTGGCTTCATTCGATTTGACACAACGCACCTTATCGACGTTACGCTTTATGCGTATCAAGCTTTTAAATGTCATCAAGTTGAAGTTAGTAATTTTTACATCAGTTGCGCCATTACGTCCAATAAATATATAGTTTTGATTAAATTAATACAAAATAGGTAGCTCTTTCAAAGTGGCGAGTAATCCGCCAACGGATTGTATGCCTTCTGTATCATTTTTATACAAAGATCGAGTGGATTGTCTTGTATCGATTAACCAAAATATCGAACATCCTTAACTATACTATAAGTTGACATTTAGTAGTATATGAATGAAAAAGTATTTAAAAAAACGAATGTACTAAAAAAGCACCTCCACTAGATGGCGATTCCAGCAAAAGTTGAGTTTTGCAGGAAAGTAATGGACCAAAGACAGTAATTTCCGTTCCTTTTAACTAACATATTAAAAAAACTGAAATTTGAAAAGTTCGAAACTTAGATATCAATACAAATACAATTAAGTTCAAATACAATATGAGTTGTTTATCGAGTTTTGAAAACTAAAGGGTTGTCATGGAGAAATCAAGAGCGTACCGTAGCGACGTCTAGTTTGATTTCGGGGATTATTATTTTTTTAATACTTCCTCATTATTATTAATGATGTGATGATTCGATTATTATATACATAGATTAATTGATTATTATATTACTGGTGGTCGATTAATAATCAATAATAAAGCATTCATGCTGCTGATTCTTAAATATTTTTACCCAAAAAGTTTATTAATAATTTTAAATTATTTCCATTGTATTTTAAAGGCACCCAAGTAAATTAACAATACTATTAAAAATCCATTTTAAGACAATGTTTACCATACCATCATTGTGAAACCAAAAAAGCTGTATCCACGTCCACGTGAAAAGTAGCCTTAGTTCCTTATCAGATAAGCTATTTGCCAGTGAAAGTCCCGTCAAAATCAGTCCAGCCGTTTCAGAGATTAGCCGGAACAAGCAGGCAGACAAAAAATGTAAAAAATATTATTTTGGTATAGCTTTGTACCGTGTATACATGTGCATTTAGTAAGAAACGGTTAATTTTTATTTATTAAAATAAAACTGTAAGATCCGTTAATTCATTTTTCAAGAGTTCCCTGAGCAAAGGGTAAAACTTCCTATTTATTCGTGCGAGTATTCCAGCGTTGCCATAATAAGTTATAGAAAATAAGGTATCCGCTAAAAATCAGCGCCGTAGCTTAAACACTGTGGCATAGAAAATTCAAAATTAGGTACTAAAAAGGCTCAGCAATATGCCATACTATTAATGTTTTGCACTTGTAATTCGCTGCTACATAGATACTTTTCTATTCTATTTGATACCCGATGGTAAAAAGGGTATAGAGAAAGACCAGGAAGCTTTTAGATCACATGAGTTTATTTGCCACCAAAAATATATACTTTATAAAATACAAACAGCACCAACAATAGCTTTATGAAGAGTGACTTTTATTATATAACAATAGAAGCGCATGTGCTGAACAGATTGCCAAATGTCAATATTCAAATTAATTAAGAAGACCTTAAACCAAGAGGGTCGGGAGCAAAGTAGTCTCCCTCAACAATATTCTATAAAATCTACTAATAGTATTCACACTCGCGATCCGCTAAGGGTTGTTGAGCCATCGAAATAAAGTAAGTAGGTACTATACTTACATTTTAAACTATTCCTATTGCTAACGTTAATTGTTAAATTTAAAGGGACGCTGAATGTTGAAATATTAGAAAAAAACCACCATTTCTTTCGAACTGACATCAAAGAAGAAGAAAATGTCAGAAATTTATTTTTCTATAATCCTCTTTAAAAAGTTTTATACTAATTCACAACATCCTCTGAGCGGCAAAAAAACTCTAAATATAAAATAAATCACCAAATGAATCTCAGAATAATATAACAAAGCAATGAATAACATCTCTATGACTACAATAACTTCTTTTGAAATTCGAGTTACAAAGGGCGTTGCTAACGTCATTTAATTATAAAAATAATATATAATATTTTAGCTACCAGTAGGGATTCTCACAATAATAACTCCAATATCGCTGTGACACTTTATTCACTGATAGTACAAAACGAACTGCCCGCTCCGAGTTGGCGGTATGACTTTTATATGCAACGGTGGTATCGTTTTACAACTTCTAACGACACCGGAAGTGTCGTTAGCTTTCATAATTAACATTAATAATGATTATACAATGTAATCGAATTTAAACATAGAAATTAAAATAAGTATTAAATTACATAAATTATAACAACTCATTCCTGATTTTTAAGGATTACAAAAATAATTCGTATGTTGAATTTATATGACGTGTAGACAAAACAAATGACATTTTATAATCGATACTTTAATATGTAGGTATGTTATAATTAAATTCTAACATTCGGCCATACTGACAAAAGTTTGTCCTCAAACTAAAATCGAAAAACACCAAAAATTATGTATGTACACCTTATATTTTATCATTATGAATCTCTGGTAAAAAAAAAACTTTTATGTAAACAATCAAAATGATAAATTACAAAATTTATTACATTTGCAAAGGTTATCATACACTTGTAGGCATGTATTTGTACAGATTCATAACTTATTAACTAAATCATCTGGAAAATACTTCACAACGATTATTATATTATAAAATCAAAATAGTACATATAACACAAAAACATTAGAATATGCCTTCTAAGTACATTTTTTTTTCAGTTTCATTATATATACACAGCTTAATAATAAGTGTAACTTTGGCAAAGAAAACGAATTTATATAACTAACAACAGGTATGCTTGGGAACCTCAAGTCTACCTAGTAACTGTCAGCTGTACTTGGATAACTCGCCAAGTCCAGCCAGCGAGTAAAATAAATTAACCTGTAATCTTATGAAATTTTATGAGTTAACTTGGAAATTTCATCAAGTCTATAATAATAAATCAATAAACTTGGCAACTTCATCAAGTTATATGTTAAATATCAACACATCAATAAACTTGGCAACTTCATCAAGTTATAGTGAGATATCAACAAATCAATAAACTTGGCAACTTCATCAAGTTATATAGTTAGATATCAATAAATCAATAAACTTGGCAACTTCATCAAGTTATATAGTTAGATATCAATAAATCAATAAACTTGGCAACTTCATCAAGTTATATAGTTAAATATCAACAAATCAATAAACTTGGAAACTTCATCAAGTTATATAGTTAGACATCAACAAATCAATAAACTTGGCAACTTCATCAAGTTTTATAAGAAAAATCAACAAATCGATATACTTGGTAATTTCATCAAGTTTTATACGTAAAATTAACAATGAAATCAATATATAAATAAACTCGGTATTTTATCAAATTTAATAACTTATCATACTAAACAATTAAATAGTGGCGAATAAATATATTTTGTTTTATTTTGAAAGTAATATCAAAACTATTCATCGTCACTGTCCGAACTAATAGTATTAATATGTGTATTAATCCAGGGTTGAATTTGATCGACCGCCCAAACATTACTATAATTTCGTTTCCCTAAGTCGGTACCTGGTATACTTGATACTTCATACCTATCATTTTTCAAAACTTTTGTAATTTTGTAGGGACCTGAGAATACAGGTAAAAGTTTTTTACTTTGCCCATCATTTGATGCTATTTGCTTTTTTATTTTAACTAAATCGCCTATATTGTAAACAACAGCCTTTTTTCTATTTTTGTCAAAACGTTTCTTTTGTTGTATTTGATCTTTTTCAATGTGCTCAGTTATGTCTGTCCTTATTTCATCCAAATTTTGATTAGGTTTTCTAGTTTCTAAAAACAGATCGCTAAACATATTTTAATTAGCATGTGTAAAAGAACGACCAAATAATGCTTCAGATGGAGTTTTTCCAATACCTTTGTTTAAAGTGTTATTTAAACCCCATTGAATTTTATTTAATTCCTGATCTCATTTAGTTTCCCCAAGTCTGTCAGTGTAAGACGTTAATGAATCCAAAACTGTCCGATTATAACGCTCGACCTGACCGTTCGATCTCGGAGAAGCGACTGCATTCAATACGTGCTTAATTTTTGAATCTTCACAAAATTTTTCGAATTCTTTTGAAGTAAAACTAGAACCTCTGTCAGATATAATCCTTGCAGGGTACCCAAACGTAGAAAATACCTCATTCAAAGATTTAACAGTGGGAGCAGTTTTCAAATTACGCAACGGTTTTATTATACAAAATTTTGTATAACCATCAACGATTAAAAGTAGGTACATATTACCGCGTATACTTTTTACGAATGGTCCTAAGTGATCTATGTGAACCGTGTGGAAAGGAATATCAAGTTTAGGTATAGGATGTAAAAACCCTTCTTTTTTTCCATTAGTG